TGCAATGCTTCCTTGCCTGTCTAAATTGTCAGCTGTTCCCCAAGGCCTGAGAGCCCTCACCTTTCAGCAAGCATCTTAAAATCACTGTTTGTGAAACATCTCCTTTCTCTATCCAGGTCCGATTCCTTGAGCAACAAAACAAGGTCCTGGAGACCAAATGGGTCCTTCTGCAAGAACAGGGGAACAAAACAGTCAGAAACAACATTGAGCCCCTCTTTGAGACCTACATCAACAACCTCAGGAGCCAGCTGAACAGGTTGCTGACCGACAAGGAGAACTTGGGAGGGGAGCTGAACAAGGTGCAAAACCTTGCTGAGGACTTCAAGAACAAGTAAGTCCATTCATGGTCTGCCTGGGGAGCAGGGTGGGCTGTGACAAACACCAGCTCACTGTTGCATCTGTGCAATCGAACAAGGGAAGAAGGCCTTTGTTCTGCTATGATCTTCTGAGTAAGGCCCAGGTCAAGTTTAGTATCAGACATATTTATGTCTGATACAGTACAGTTCTGGTGTCCTCAACATAAAAAGGACATGGAGCTGTTGGAGCAAGTCCAGAGGAGGGCCATGAGGATGATAAGAGGACTGGAGCACCTCCTGTATCAAGACAGGCTGAGAAAGTTGGGGCTTTTCAGCCTGGTGAAGAGAAGACTGCATGGAGACCTCATAGCAGCCTTCCAATATCTGAAGGGGGCCTATAAGGATGTTGGGGAGGGACTCTTTTTTAGGGACTGTAGTGATACGACAAGGGGTAATGGGTTTAAACTTAAACAGGGGAAGTTTAGATTAGATATAAGGAAGAAGTTCTTTACAGTGAGGGTGGTGAGGCACTGGAATAGGTTGCCCAAGGAAGTTGTGAATGCTCCAACCCTGGCCGTGTTCAAGGCCTGGCTGGACAGAGCCTTGGGCGACATAGTTTAGTGTGTGGTGTCCCTGCTCATGGCAGGGGGGTTGGAACTAGATGATCTTAAGGTCCTTTCCAACCCTAACTGTTCTATGATTTGATATTCAGCCTCACTTCCCCTAGCTGAGTCACAGGCAGAAAATCTTAGGGCTAAGAGACCAAGGAACAAAACTGTACAAGTCCAGACCAACCCTCCCTTTCCATCCTGCAGGTATGAAGAGGAGGTCGACAAGCGCACAGTGGCAGAGAACGAATTTGTGATCCTGAAGAAGGTGGGTGCAGGCACGTTGTGCCTCCCAGCCTTGCACCAGTATAGATACATGTATTCCAGCTTTTCCTCTGCTTCTCCTAAACCCACATCATCCCTGTGATGTGTTTCCTCTTCTAGGAAGTGGACACTGCCTACATGAACAAGACAGAGCTGCAAGCCAGGCTGGAGTCCCTTATGGAGGAGATAGATTTCCTCAGAGCCCTCTATGAAGCCGTAAGCAGCAGCATTTACATCCTTCTCCCAGTTTCCAGTGCCCTGGCCTTCCTTTCCCCCTTCAGCAGCTCAGGACTGATTATTTTCCACTCTGTTGCACTAAATAATTCAATGATTTTTCCATTTCTCCTGCTGCCTTAGCCCTGCCTGAAACTGCCTTGGAAAAATCTTTGTCCACCCAGATCTACCCTCTGACTTTGGGAGTTTCCTCCCTCTGAGCAACATTCGTGTCTCATACCTGTAACTCACCAAAATACCCGCTGCTTTTGCAGGAGCTGTCCCAGATGCAGTCACAGATCTCTGACACCTCTGTCATCCTGACCATGGACAACAACCGCAGCCTGGACATGGACAGCATCATCGCAGAGGTCAAAGCGCAGTACGAGGACATTGCCAACCGGAGCCGGGCAGAAGCTGAGTCCTGGTACCAATCCAGGGTGAGTGCTCAGGAAGGCTTCAGCAATGGGAAACCCACACTCCCTCTCCCAAATCCCCACAGGGAGGGAGGTGGGTCCCTCCTTGATTTTTATAACACAGGATGCCTTCAGATTTAATAATCCTATAAAGTCTGGAAGTACCAGTTCGGGATTGAGAACACAATCACGTGTGTTTGCATGCTGCTGAGTGCAGACACCCACATAACCACATGGTGGTTGACTCTAAAACCAATGTATTTTACCTTGACTGACTGTTCTTTCTCTGACAGTATGAAGAGCTGCAGGCTACAGCAGGCAGGCATGGGGATGACCTCCGCAACACCAAGCAGGAGATCTCCGAGCTCAACCGCCACGTCCAGAGGCTGAGGTCTGAAATTGAAAGTGTGAAGAAGCAGGTAAAAGGCAGTGTGAATGGCTAAGGCTTAACTGCTGCTGTGGTTTAACGTGTTGGTTGCCCAGCCAACTCCAGGGAACAAAAATAAATGCATCTCAGTGAGTTCTGCTGGATCAGGAATGAGTATCTCAGTGCAATAACATCTGTAAGAGTAACTTAATGCAATATTACTAAAGGAGATGTTAAGATGTGTGGAATTAGCTTAAATGCAGGCTGTGACCTCGTTCAGAACATGGATCAATTCAGTGATTAAGATCACACCTATAGATGTTTACCCAAAGGCTTCTGCTTGTAGATTAAGTATCATGACCTCAGGGTACGAGGAACTGGTCTATGCTCTAAGTAAGGAACACAACCCCCATTTCCACCATTTCTCCTCCACAGTGCACCAGTTTGCAGATGGCCATTGCAGATGCTGAGCAGCGTGGGGAGCTGGCCCTCAAGGATGCCAGGGCAAAGCTGGAGGAGCTGGAGACAGCTCTGCAGAAGGCCAAGACAGACCTGGCCCGGCAGCTCCGGGAGTACCAGGAGCTCATGAATGTCAAGCTGGCCCTGGACATTGAGATTGCAACCTACAGGAAGCTGCTGGAGGGAGAAGAGTGCAGGTGAGGGCAACTTGATATCCCATTTTCCAGGGGTGCAGTGGAGTTGCAGACCCTTGCCGGGTTTAGACTCCCGCATTCACAAGACCTGAAACCTGTTCAAAGGCAAGCCATTGCCCATGAAGATGAGCTGTTTGGGAAGATGCTAACTTTGCATCTTCCACCAAAAATACTCCAAGGAAATCCTGCCTTTTTCAACCAGCTCCTGTTCATGGGTTCCCCATGAATTCTCACTGGCTCATTTTGTTCCCTAACAGGCTCTCTGGAGAAGGTGCTGGCACAGTGAATATCTGTAAGTAGCTTCTGAAGATAGTTTGGTAACTTTTACATTCACGTCCCTGCCACTCAGAGCGCACTGCTTGTGGACGCCTCTAAAGAGGGTGTTTTCCTCTTGCAGCTGTGACCAGAACCACCACAGGAACAGGATATGGAAGTGGAAACTGTCTCAGCTTCGGAGGCAGCAGTGGTGGTGTTGGAGGTGGGATCTGCGCTGGAGGAATGGGCTTCAGCTCTGGAAGCAGACAAGGTGCAGATGGGTCATGCCGGGTTGGTGGAAGCAGTTCCAGCACTAAGTACATCTCCACCACCTCTTCAACCAAGAGATGCTACTAAAGCCAGAGATGAGCACTGTTAGCTAGTGTGTGCCAGGTTTCCTCTCATCTTGTGTGCAATCCTTACCCTGTTGCCTGAAAAGATTTGGAAGTGAAATTGTCCTTATTTATAAAACACATCATGCTCCTGTTTGTTCTTAGACCCTCTGAAATCCTCATTTCCCAGTGTTTGTCTAATTAAAGGCAGATGGAATTAAATGTTGCATATGTCTTTCAATTCCAATTACTTTGTAGGCCCTTGGAGAAAAGCATGGTTCACATAGAGTAGAATTGAAGGCAAACAGAAGTCATACAAGAGTTGAGACCTTTCCTTCTACTGCAACTCCATGGACACCTCTTATATCCAACAGGAATAGAGCAGGTGGACATTCCATTCCCATGTGTGTGAGCGAAGTGTTTTAGCATCAGTATCTTCCACAGAATGGGGAAATATCCACTCCTCCTAGCAGGCACTAGAGAAAACATCCTTCTATCTTCATTTCTATATTACGGCCTCTTAGCATTTTCACGACACCTTGATCATGCCCAAACCCTTGCAATTGTTTAAGGTTTTATGTGATGAGTCACACAGGGATATAAATCCAGGTTTTCCCAAGAAGGCAAGTACTTCAGCTCACAGTGTTCTGTACATGCACCAGCTGCAGGGGGTAATAAAATGCCCTCACTGCCATTACCATAATTAGAAATCAAAAAGGCCCATTAAACCACCAAAGTCACCCTCTTTGGGAAGAATAATGTCCGCAGCCATAGGCTGTGAGACAGTTAAAGACCTTGAGGGAATAAAGGTTTAGTTCCCTTCTCTGATCTCCAGAAGAGTACCACAAGACCCAAACCAAATCTTAAGAAAACAATGAAAACTGAAGGTGGTGAGATCACCCCAGCAGATTGTGCTGGTTCAGTCTCTGCCACAACCATGCCGAGGGACCTACACACCACAGGTAAATGTGACACTCATCAGGGGCATGCTTACTCCTAACCTAAAGAGAAGGTGATTCAATAAACACCAGATTTAGGATTCTAGATCCTCTAGATCTAAGCACAACAACACACTACTGGACAGGAAATGGCTCGTCCTATTCAATACCTGCCCATCTTTCGCTGGCATCTCTAGACCCTATTCCCACTGACAGCAGTAGAACTCGTATTTGGTTATTATTTAAACACATCAAACCACCACCTGATGACCTGGACTTCTACAAGTCAGGCTGCTTTTCCTCTGGGGGACCATGTACTTTTAGCTATCTCATCATTTAGCATTTCAGCAAAGCAAAGCATCCAGGCTCCTTTTGCAGCCAACAGAAAGGCGCAGGTACCCAGGTACATCGCAAATGATCACCTCTACCAGAAGTACCTCAGTACAGATGAAGAGTTGCCTGCAAAGATGAGGAGTGTAGACCAAGACATCTAACTTCTTGGCTACATCAGGACAGGTTGCTTCTACCCCAAGACAGCTGGTAACCAGGGAGCAAAGCACATCAGACTGGCACTTCCAACATCTCTAGATTCCCTCTTGTGGCAACATCAACTTTAAATTAAATGGGCACTGACACCATTAACCAAGTTAAAAACAAGCCCAAATGGAAGAACTTCTGGACGTAAATATTCTTTCCCCCCACCAATAATCCCTGCTTTGAAAAATACAGGCTAGAAAACCTGGTTACATTTATGAGCCTGAAGGTTGCCCGCCCATTGCATTAGTGACTTAGTGATTAACGGGCTGGGGAAGGTGGCCACATGCCAGCATACCAAACCAATGAGCTCAGCCAACGGAGCTGCGGTCCTCTGTGGACAAGCCCAGCTCTCCAAAAGGATAAAAGGCAGAGGGGAGTCCTGATCCAAACTCCCAAAGCCTTCTGTTCATCCACCATCTCACCTCGTTGTCCTCTGTTCTTGCCACCGGCAAGCAATTGCACAAACATCAGTTGGCATGAGGTCAGGAGGACTCACTGGGGGTTTCAGTGCTGCTTCTGCTGCTACACCTGTTAACTGAAGCAGCTTCAGCTCCATGTCCATGTCCCACAACAGTGGGTGGAGGTGTGGGATGGATCAGCAGCAGTTTTGGTAGGAGGAGCCTTCGTAATCTAGAGGCAAGCAAGAAGATTTCTATGAGTAGAGAGCATTGTTCTGCTGGATCAGTTATGGGTCAGGTCATGGTGGGTTGGCGTATGGAGTTGGTGGAGCTGTGTTTGGGTTCGGAGGAGGATGTGGCCCTGGAGGTATTCAAGGGGTCATGGTCAACCAACACCTCTTGCTACCTCTTAACTTGGAGATTGACCCCAATATGCAGAGAAGGCAGCAGGAGGAGAAGGACCAAATCAAATCTCTCAACAAGAAGTTTGCCTCCTTCATTGACAAGGTAAGACACCTTCCACTTCATCCAGCCTGGCTTGTTTGTTATTGCCTGTAGAGCGAGATCAGGATTACTCTCAATTTACTCCCAAACCCTTAATGCATAGCTTGTTACCTCCATATCCAGACTGTCTACACAGCTCATAGTGTCAGAGCTCTCTGACAAATTAGTTTTCTGTGTTTCTTTGCAATTGACTATTGGTCCTGGTTTCCAAATCTTCCTTCTGATGATCTTTTGCTGATGTGTCCATCTAAAGCCCACTTTAAATTATAGAAAAGAAAAGCAACCCCACACACACTTAAGCCCCCATCTCATGAAACTGAGGCGGGCTTAGAGTCAATGATCGCAAATGATTTAAATTGTTCTGATGGATTTCAGGTGCGATTCCTGGAGCAACAAAATAAAGTTCTGGAGATCAAATAGAACCTCCTGCAAGACCAAAAAGTTGTGAAAAACAACCTTGAACCCACGTTTGATGCATACATCAGCAACATAAGGAGACAGCTCAAGGCTCTGGGAGGGTATAGGCTGCAGCTCAGCACTGGAGACTATGCAGGATGCTGTTGAAGACTTCAAGAGCAGGTAAGCAGCACACAGAGAGGAAGAAACCTCCACTTCTTCACTCGTCGCAGCTCCTGTGTAGTCATTTTAATACAGACCAGGATGAAACCTGGATCTTAACAATGCTATTGAGCACTCTGAACAGGCACATTACTTACTGGTGTGGGTCCCTTTCCAGGAAAGAAGAATTGTCTAAAAAGAATGATTAAATTTAAGTGTGTGCTTTTGTTTGGGGTTTTTTTGTTTGTTTGTTTGTTTGTTTTGATTTAATTTAATTATTATAACATCCTTAATATCAATATATTAGATAGTTTTATCACTTCTGAAGGAGTTCGCTTCCACCCCACTGAAAGCAACTGAAATCTTGGATTTTAGCTCAGCTCCTGAACTCTTGAGGCTGTTGGGAGGAGGTTTTCCCTCTCTCATCCACTCTTTGCACTTTGCAAAAACTTCTCTCAAGTGTTCATGTCTGCTACCATGCCCACAAGGGGTGCACTGCTCAGTGGCTTTAAATAAGTAAAGAGCTTAAATTGTCAGTTCAGAACCAGAAAAACCAGAGAGGAGAGCTCGGTGCAGGTTTCAATTCAAAAGAAGGACACATGCATTCTGCCAAATCCCTCTGCTCTCCCTTTCTTGGGAGCTCATGTGTGGCAATTTCTGCCACCTTTACAACAGGGCCTCTAGCCCCAGAGTAGCATTGGAACAGGAACAACTGCCTTGGGAAAGTGAAATCATCATCCACAATCTGCCTTGAGCTGTCTGACAGTTCTCTGTGCCTTCAGAAATGTTTAACAGAGAAACAAAAATCTGTCCCATGTCAGACTGGCAAAGGTAAGACCTCAGGGTCTGTTACAAGGGTGTGAAAGGGGGCTACAAGGATGCTGCAGGGGGACCTTCATCAGGGACTGCGGCGATAGGACAAGGGGTGATGGGTTCAAACTGAAACAGGGGAAGTTCAGGTTGGAGATACAGAAGAAGTTCTTCCCTGTGAGGGTGCTGAGGCACTGGCACAGGGTGCCCAGACAAGCTGTGGCTGCCCCATCCCTGGCAGTGTTCAAGGCCAGGTTGGACACGGGGTCTTGGAGCAACCTGCTCTAGTGGAAGGTGTCCCTGCCCATGGCAGGGGGTTGGAGCTGGAGGAGCTTTAAGGTCCCTTCCCACCCAAACCATTCTGTGATTCTACAAGTCAGCCTTCTGGACTTCCTCAATTCATTCTAGGATGAGACAAATGACATTCCAGAGATAAATGTCTTTCTCCATCAGCCACAGAAGAAACACCAAAGAAGAGAGCTTAGCCAAAATAGTCAAGTTCCAGGTAGCTGACTTGAGATGAATCCCAGCTGGAAGCACAACACTGCTATCAGTTACCTGGGTCAGAGAGTGTTCTTCTCATCACGTTGAAAAGCCATTTCTAACTTTGGCACAGTCTGGAGCAGCAAAGCAGCAACAGAGATGGCTCAGCTGACAAGAAACCCTAGGGTGCACCTTGACTTCAGACAAGAAATCCTTTGACAACCAAAGGCCACGTCATAAAAGAGGTTCAGACTTTAATATTCTGCCTGCATCTGTCAAAGTTCTGGCTCCAGATCAGGGAATCTTTGGCTAAAAGCTCAATTACATCACAGACACTAGTGGGCAGGTACCATCAACTCACATTGTGGCAACAATGCCTATGCCTACTAAAATGATGTCACTGCTTCTGTCCCCATCTCCTAGGAATTTGTTCTTCTTACCTTTATTTACTTAAAATTTTGTGGATCCTGAAGTATTTTTCTCATGCTTTGCTCTTCTGAGTCAAATAATAACCTATATGATAATTAGAAATGAGGCATATGCCAAGTGAGTTTTCCTCTTCTATGTGCCTAAGAGATTAGAGATCTAAATACAGGCTAGGACTTTACTTAATGGAAATGATTTTAAGGGTTGGATATTCCTGATGTGAAGAAATCTTCCCCCATGAAATGGTCATGAAGGGCGAATGTTTCATTAGCTGCATGGACTCCTTCCTTTGAGCCCCTGTCTTTTATCATCTCCCCCATTTACCCATTTCATCTGAGTGGCTATTGCTGGGTTTTATCCTTTCCCAAGAGCAGGACTGTGCACTGCTGATGATCCAGACTTTGGTTCTCCTTGCTCAGGCCACCCTCCTCCCTGGACACCCCCAGCCCTCCTGAAGCCACCGCTTTTGGAAGCTGGCGTCAGAGATCCCAGCTTTTCTGACTAACCAAGGTGTGGTGGAGATGAGCTCAGCCATGGCTCCACCCAGCCCTCCCGGCCTGGGAAAAGCGGGAGAGGACAAAGCTCCCATTCATAGCAAGAACTTTTGGGAGGGTAAAACGTGCCTTTAATGAAGGCCTGCAGCTTCTCTAGATGGCCTCCTCCCACCATCTAGCCCAAGGCTGCTGTCTTTCTATCACAGTCAGTGAGATACGAATATCTCATAATGCTACGTGTAACATGTGCACTGACATAGCAAGGATACATCATCCTTAAGTAGCTGGTTTTGTTGTTTCCTCCAAAGATCTGTGCATCAGTGGTAAATGCCCATGGGAACAGACTCTTTAGTCTCCCCAAACACAACCCAAAATGTATGCATGGAGGAGGGATTTCCACACGCCCATGGGGGACCAGGTGGGTTGCAGCATGGAAGCTGTAAAGGGATGCTCATCTCCCCTTCCCAACAGGTACAAAGAGGAGATCAACAAGCACACGACTGCAGAGAATGACTTTGTTTTGCTCAAGAAGGTGAGGCACCAACAACAAAGAAGAGACACACTTTTTAAAGGCAAAATACATTTGAATGCAAATAACCCTTTTTATCCAGCAGTGCCAAGCTGGGCAAAGCACTTAGCAAAAGTGTAGTCATCCCTCCTTGAAGCAGAAACACCCAGTTGTGCTGGTGCCAGTCCTTGCCCATAGATCATTCTTGTTTCAGGACCCTCATCCAAAATTCAGGTTCCCTCATCCCCCAGGTTCCAGATCAGAGCTGGGTCATCCATACTAGATGCTCTGCCACAGACCCCTGGTTCTACCTTCAGGAGACACAATAAGAAACTTCCACCATTTCAAGCATTGTCCAACACATCTTTCTGTGCACTCTCAAAAAAGTCAGGAAATTCAGCGGCTTCTGACTTGTCAAAAACTGCTTACATCTATGGACATCATCCCTCCCCCAAAAAAAGGTGGAGGGAAGAAACCAGTTCACTGTTGGCTCTGTTCAAAGGCACTGGGTGCAATAAACTCTTATATTCTGGTTTTTCTCCAAAGGTTCATGTTAAATGACAACTGGTCTTTGTACAAGGATGCAGATAGGCAAGGTCTGGTTCTCTGCCTCTGTTGATGTGGTTCCAGGATGCAGATGCTGCCTACATGAACAAGGTGGGACTGGGAACCAAGGTGGCTGCACTGACAGATGAGATTAACTTCCTGCGAGCCCTCTACGAAGCAGCAAGAACTTCCCAAATTTCACAGTTCTATTTCCCCATTTTCCTGGTACCAACAGGATAGAACCAGCCTGAGAGAGCTGTTTGGAGCTGCAGTTCCTCCCCATTCTCATCCTTCCACCACACATTATCTCCAGGACACCCACAACCATGAAAACTTTGGGACCAAGAATGAATTTGTTTGATTTACAGGGGCTGTCTCAGATGCAGTTGCAGATCTCCAACACCTCTGTGGTCGTGTCCATGGACAACAACAGAAATGTGGACCTGAACAGTATCACTGCAGAGGTCGAAGCACCGTATGAGGACATTGCCAACTGGAGCCAGGCAGAGGCTGAGCCCTGGTACCAGAGCAAGGTGAGGATGTGAAAACCAACCAAGTAAGCTGGAAAAGTTTTGTTTAGCATTTCCCAAGGGCTATTTTATACTCAGGAGCATGAACAGAGATAACAGGGGACTAGGGTGTAAAATCAAGTCAGTTTGGATAGGATTTTGTATAGTTTCTTGAATGACAATTTGACAATGAGAGACAGAGGAGCATCATGAGATAGGAGGAGGAAGGAAACATGCTACAGTTGATGAGGAAGAACTTGGATTGAGCACAGAAAGAAACAGAAGACCCAGTGAAGAGAGAATAAGAGCAGGGTCAATCTCTATCAGTGAGTTCAAGCTCCTGTCCAGATCTGACTGTGCCCTGGTGTCTAATCTCCATTCTCATCTCGGTATGAGGAGCTGCAGCAGCTCACACCTGGCCGTCACAGCGATGAGCTCCACAACACCAAGAGGGAGATCTCAGAGATGAACCACATAATCCAGCAGCTCCACTCAGAAATTGATAGTGTAAAGAAACAGGTATGGTCATAGTGCACAGGACCCCTCCAGACACGGGGGCACCTCCATCTCCATAGTTTCCATGGCTGGAAGCTGGGGTCCAAACCCAATGGGCAGTCACCAGACCTATTTCCACTTCTTGCAGCACACCAGTTTGCAGACGGCCACTGCAGATGCTGAGCAGCACAGGGAGGTGGCCATCAAGGATGCCAGGGCAAAACTGGCCAAGCTGGAAGACGCTCTGCAGAAAGCCAAGGCAGACCTGGCCCAGCAGCTCCACAAGTACCAGGAGCTCATGAATGTCAAGCTGGCCCTGGACATCGAGATCACAGCCTACAGGAAGCTGCTGGAGGGAGAGGAGAGCAGGTTGGTGGTTCCCCCATTGCAAACCAAATAATGCCCAAAGCCACCGATGTTTTCACATTTGCCTTGCAACAGGAGAGGGAAGAGCCACACAAACCTGCAGTGAAAACACACCCCTTTCCTATGCAGTTAGAATGGTTTGGGTTGGATAGGACCTTAAGATCATCTAGTTCCAACTCCCCTGCCATGGGCAGGGACACCACACACTAGACCAAGTCTCTGTCCGACCTGGCCTTGAGCAGTTACAGGTGTTATTTCAGTTCTTACGGGATGCTCATCATCAGACCTTAACACCCCAGACCATTCTATTATCCAATGTCCCTGTTACAAAACTGATGCTTGAAATTGTCCTAAATAACAAGCCCTTACTTCTGTGTCTTCTCTTACTTCCAGACTGGCTGGAGAAGGCACTGGGGCAATGAATATTTGTAAGTAAACTGGCTCATAAGCAACTGATTGAGCATTCATTGAGTTATTCCTTAAATGTACCTGGAACTGAGGATAACGCAATGAAAATGAGCTATGCAGCTAGGAGTTACCAGCAAAAAATGGAGTATTGGAAGTTTGCACCAATCTGGGGACATCAAAGAGCTTTTTTTCTCTGACCAGCTCTGAACCTGAAAGGTTTTGTACATTGAGATTGCCCCTGGGAGACTCAGATGTCCAAGGCCAGGACTGCTGCAGGATAGGAAGAAAAGCCACAGAGTACAGGCAGTGGTGGCCTGTCCAAGAAAAACCAGGAATGTGTGAAATTCCTTCATACTATTCCAAACCAGCTAACCCTCTGCCCATGGTTTCCAACCACAGCCATGTTCTCATCTGGGAGCAGCTGTGGAGGTGAGAACATGCTGGGGCTGGAGACAGGCTTCAGCAACAGGCTCAGCATGGGGGAGAGCGGTGCTGGCTGTAGTGGGAGCTGCCTGGCTGGGGCATCCAGCTCTGGTGCAGGAAGCAGCTCAAGCACGAGGTTTGTATCCACAAGCACCACCAGGAAGAACCACTGAAGCTAAATCACGGCAGCACCCAGCTTACCTGGAACAGACAGGGTTGAGCACCACCTCCTGCTGCCAGGACAAAGCCTGTTAACACCATCCACAGAGCCATGCTTATCACTTTCCCATTAGAGGAAAACATATTCCCAGCTCTGCTTATTAGCTCAGGAGAGAGGCCCCTCCAAGTCCAACTAATTCCTCTGCACAAAGCCTCACGCAGCTGACCAGAAGGTGCCTGTCAACAGGTAATCATCCCTCCCATTAATGGGTGCCATGGTTACAGCTCAGCTGACAGCTTCCCAGGGCTCCAGTGCCCTGGTGCAAATCCAGAGGAGATGAAGCACTTCTATTTACATCATTGTACATGAAAGCAGAGTGTGTCCCTTCACCCCCTTATAGTGGAAGCCAGGAGGCGTGCTGAGACCAAGACAGCCTCTTGTGCTCCCTCCTAACCAGCCCTGTTCCCACTGCTGGGCTTGCTCACCCCAAAGGCTTGAGGAATTGAAAATGGAGCATCTTTCAACATAGAGAAAGTTGCTGTTTCCCAGTTCCTCCTGCATTGTTGTTGTTTCACTCCAGGGCTCTCCAGCTCTACCTACATCCAAAAATGCAGCCTTCATTTCCATACAAGGGCTTGGCTCTCTGTAGCGTCTAATTCCTCACCTACCCAGTACATACCGCTTAAGCCAAAAAACCATGTAACCTACAGGTTGTTAGACCTTGCCTCAGCATCAAACCATCTTTTCACTTTCCACCTGCCAGAGTGAGCTTAAACTAGAGATGGAGTTAAAAATACAGGAAAAACAAAAGGAGGAACAGTATAAATTTTACATAACCTGGTTTAACATCTTTGTTCTTGCCTTTTTCTTTTTATGAGAGGAGAAGAAGGAGGCAAAGAGGAGGGTTGGACAATTATGTGCCAAAAATGTAACCAGCTCATTTCCTCTCATCTTCTGCTCCTGTTGAACTGTGTGAGTTTTATGATCTTTTCTTCAATAAACTGCAGTCAAACTTACCATGAGCCATGTGGGCTTTTGTGCCAAACACACCTCAAAGTGTAATTTTAGAACAAGGTTTAGAAGATTTGCCATAGGCACTCGCTGTCACTCAGAGCCTCCCATCTCCTCCTCCATCTGAGTCCCAGAGAAGAGGAGGAATATTGGAGACAAAGAGATCACAGAGCACCAATACCCAAGCACCTGGGGAGGTCTTCCTGCACAGCCAACAGAGCAAGACCAGAAGGTGGGGCTGGTTTCACCTGGCCATAAACGCCTACATTGGAGCCAAAAGACAGAAACAGACTATTTTGGGTCAGATGATTGGTTTCCCAGTAGCACCTCCCCCTGGGACTGAAAGTGCTCTAGGCAGTTGGCTGGAGTTGTTTGCATTGCAGGAGCACTCCAAAAGGTGTTTGAAAGTCAGGAAAGGTGGATCCCACACATCAGAGCTAAACTTCTGGAAAGGCTCGTTCCAGATCTGCAGCTTGGGCAAGGAAAACAGGAGGGATTTCTCTCCATCCCCTCCCTGGAGCAGCCAACAGAGCCATCAGACCAAGTGCTCAACATGGATGTGATCCCAGGGCAGTGAGATGCTCCAGAGTTGAGGTTTCTGTTGGGTCAGCTGGTCAAAGCTGGGCTGGCTCAGACATGCTGGACTCTGCTCAGGTCTGTAATTAAAAACCCAAGAGAGAAAGTGAGAAGAGAAGCCAACATGACTTCTTCCATTCCACGGGAGATGCCAACTCTCACATGGAGCAGCTGCTCTCCAGCATCCAGGGCCCAAACATGAAAGATGCTAAACTCCTTTTAGGCTCAGTCCCAAAAAGTGCTTTAGCACATACAACTCCCACATGGCTTTACCTGAAACCTTGTGTGGCTAAATGAGGCAGGCCAGCTCTCAGGCTTGCATGTATGAGCTTCTCTCTGATGCTCTTCATGGAGCAGAACATGTTCTCAGGCCATGGCAAATGCCAAGAAAAATCACACTAAAGCAAATGCACCTTTAGAAAAGGCTGAGATTTCCAGGGCTAAGCCCTTGGTGTCACCCCACTAGAGGGAAAAGCATTAAGAAGGTTCCCACCCACAGCACACAGCCCCTTCACTTCCATTTTCACCTGGTTTGTTTTCTAGGAAAGACTTATCCATCTTTCCTGTATTTAGGTGTCTCTGAACCCCCCTCTCCTTTGCTGAAAGATAAATACTGATAAAATCCAAATTTACATTCCTAGGGATTTGCTAAGCAAGAAAGGAATGAACAAGCCCACTTCTTCTGTAAGTTATTCCCCATGGAGGACACTTCTGCAAGCAGTAAGATAAAGGGTGTTAATGGATCTGAGTGGTGGCAGTCATACTCCCCAAAAAAACTCCAGAAAACAACAGACTTGCTCTTCAGGGCATTCAGTGGAGGACAGAAGCACAAAGGTAGTTTGAGAACCTCCATCTATTCGATCTCTGCTTTTGGTTTTTTTCCTGCCTAGTGCAAAGGTCTGAGCTGGAAAATCTTTCCCTGCTTTACCCTGCTCTCATGTCTCTATGTGTTGTACCTGTTTTCTGCTTGTAGTTACAGGCCAGCAAAGCCCTAGCACCAAGAAATCTGCTTGCACAGGTCCACCTCTAGTCCTTAGGGAGTGAAAAGATTGGTTTTGAGGCAACCAAAATTACAGAGGTCAAAGAAAGAAAGAAGAGAATGAATTATTCAGCTAACAAAAAGAGCAAGTCTGGCTAAAGGCCAGCATCGTGTCAAACCAAACCAGCCCCAGTGTTTGAATCCCTAAAATACCCCTAAGAGTTTAACTCGGATTCTTCTTTTCCCACATGTAAAACAAAGCAACGGTCCCAGTGCCCCACAAACATCAAAAGATTGATCTGCTTCTCTCTTTCATGCTTCCTATAAAAAAGGGAGGTTTGCAAATGCAGTTTTTATGGGGCCAGGGATTCCCTCCCACTCACAATAGAAATGCAGCCCATAACTCAATAGGTGTGTGTTTAAAAGCAGCTCAGATCACTGTTCAGTGGAAGAGGCGAGTGGGGTATTACCAAACAACCTACGCTCATAAACATCTTCAGAAAACAGACTTTGGGGCTGGTTGTGCAGCTAAAGCCTGTTTTCCTGGGACATAAGAAGGTGAAAGCTCTCCCTGCAGATGGTTTCTGGCTGGGTTAATGCATATGTGTTGCCTCCTGCTTTCACAGAATGGTTTGGGTTGGAAAGGACCTTAAGATCCTCTAGATCATTTCAGCTTCTCCCTTTGCCTTCGCTCCCCTTCGAGCTGGTCTCCACATCTTGCCAATCCAACCACATGTGCTCCAGAGCTAGGAGCATGTGGAGTCTCATCTCTGGCTCTGTCGTGATCCGAAGAGAGACACTGTCAGCATTGTGGGGAGGTGGTGGTGTGAGGTACCCCAGGCTGTGATGCTTTGGCAGCAGAAGCCTTGGTGGCACTGCAGGCTGCAAGCCCAAGCTAGCATACCAAGCTGTGGTACAACTGCAGCCCCTCAAGTGCAGAGTTGGGCTATGGTGGATCTGGCTTTGGCTGCAGAGTCAGTGGAGCCCTGGGGTCTGGACCCATTGCCAAGGTCACAGTCGATGAGCATCTGCCCCAGCTTCTCCAGCTGGAGATGGACCCAAGCCTTTACTCTGGCAAGCACGAGAAAAAGGAGCAGATCAAGACCCTCAATAACAAATTGCACTCTTCATTGACAAGGCAAGTGATGCCCAGTGCAGAGCTGTAACAAGCTGCAGTGCAGCACATCTGAGACAGGGAATGCATTTGCCAAACCACTCACCAGCAACAGCAGCCAAAACCTGCAGCCTGACTTTGCAGAGAGGACCTGTTTGAGCTTTAGGAGGACATTTTGCACCACCATAAGCATAAAAAAAAAAGAGCCTTCAGTGGGGGCAAGAAGGTATTTTCATGCTCCAGGAGTATTCTTGCAAAGATGATCAAGCTTTGCTGTTACATGCAGAGAAGCTGATTCTCTAATGTCCCATTTTTACATCATTTGAACCTTAACTTCAGTAGAATCATCTTACATTTACCCCACTGGGAGCACACCACATCTCCTTGCCTCCACACCATGGAGATCCGAAGGGAAAACACCTCCAGTGCAGACAAGCAATACTCCTGCTGCTGCCCCCAGGGAATTCCTCAGCCCCAAGCATCCATTTAGGACACCTCTATAGTGTGTAAATGGACAAGAGCTGAAGCCTGGACACAGATGACATCACCAATGATGTCAAAGCTCAATATGACACCATTGCCAGAAGCCAGGTGGATGCAGAGTACCACAGCAAGGTGAGTCATGACAGACACTCACAAAAAGCAGTTATTCTCACTTCTAAGGGCTCTGCTTCCTCAGATTCCTGAATTTGGGTTGAATAGGCTTTTTAAGGGTCTGCTTCCTGAGCTACCTGCTGCATGTTCCCTACGTGTGTCACATCCTCTGTTAACGTCTTCACACACAGAGCTGTTACTGTGTAAATGAGTCATTTATATTCCCCAGTGACAAAGGTTTGTCCTTAGAGCTCAAGATCCGGGACTGTGACCCCAGAATCATGTAGTAGGTTTAATTATTGACTCATCTCCTCACTCTGGCATTTGTTTTCATGGCGTTTTCTCTCTCTTTGGTATGAGGAACTGAATGGAATCATTGGCAAACATGACAGCTTGCAGAGCACAAAGAATGAGATGGTGGAGCTGGTGATTCAGAGACTGGAGAATGTGAAAACACCAAAGCCCAGGTAGGAATGACTCTTCCCAGCTTGTGGCTTTCCAAAATTCCTCCACTACAGCAAGGAAGCAATAAAGCTGGTTCTGAAGAAATACACATCAGCTGCTCAATCTAAGATGTGCCTGTATCCAGAGTACAGAGTAAAATAGTCTGTTATGACTTAAAACTGAACTATCATCAGTAGAGACCTGCAGTGAGAAGACAACACATACACCAAAGCAAAGAGACTTTGGCAGAGAGAATCATCTTGGAGTTAGAGGATTCCCTATAGAGTCTGAAAACGGAAGAAAGTGCAGTGGATGAATACAGAGGCAGGTTCAAGAGCTCTGAACTATTCAAAGCACAATCAGACAAGTGGCAGTGATGAAAATCTACTTGCAGAGATCAAACTGGAAGGAGCCACCGCTGAAGCTGAGGAACACGAGGAAGCGGTTGTCAAGGATGTAAAGTGCAAACCTCTGAGCTGGAGGGGTCCCTGCAGAAGGCAAAGCAGGACATTATGTGAGAACCAGGAGCTTGTGACCATCAAGATGTTCCTGGACATCAAGATCACGACCTACAGGAAGCTGCTGGATGGAAAGGAGTGCAGGTGGGTGCTGGTACAACCCTGCAGGATGCTCACAAGGAAGAATAGTGACACATCTAACCCCACACCACTTTTCGCAGTCTGCCTGATGAGCCATCACCTCTGTAAGTGCAGCAAATCCCACTGAGACCCCATGTCCCAGGGAGCGACACTTTCCAAAGCACTTCCCAGCATTTATGGACCCAAATTACTTACAACCAACAGGAAAATGTAAGTAAAGCACAAAGTAATACAAGTGCAGGGCTCAAAAGTTCATAATGCACTCAGGCGCTTGGGTCTTCCCCCAGCTGGAAGATCTTGCATGAATAAAGATGGTTTGTGTGGCTTGCAACCACTGCATAGGGAAGGGGAAAGAAATGCAGTAAACAAAACTAAATCACTGGTTTGAAGCTTCCACCCTGCCCCTTGAGAACACAAACCACGGCACCCTCCCACACCACGACGCCAGCCCCATCCCTGCGCTTCCTAGGACCTGGACACACACACACGCACACATGTCCGAGCCCTGGCGCCGCAGTGAGGGCATCAGCCCAACGTAGGAGGTGAAGGACCAAGCCTGGCCCTGCCCCAAACAAGGTGGGAACCCAACCTCCAAGTTGAGGAATGAGGGGAGGAAGAGACGCCAGTTTTATGAGGATTTGGCCAATAGAAGCCTCTGAAGAATTGTTCCAAGCATCAGCTTCAATGTTAACTAATCTGCACTTCCCCTTGCAACAAATCATGGTGTTGGAAAACGTCATCAACCTGCAGAACAATCACCTTGAGAAACAGATTTGGGCCCACAAATGTTTCCTTGGCATTCAAACACATTGTCTTCTTACAGGCAGAACCAGCAAACCATGGTCACTGAGCACTAATCTGCCCGCACAACCCTGTTCATTAATTCCCAGTAAATTCACATTTATCACTGTAAGTTTCTATTAAAGAGCAGGTTGAGCCACATTCTCCTGCAAAGCTCTTCCTTTGCAAGCTGAGGGACCAGCAAAACATAAAGATCTCCTTTGATAGAACAGCATTTTACCTTTCCCAAGTCTCAGTTCCACTTCACCCAACCCATAAAAAGGGGAACATACAACTTTTACTGTGTCTCCAAGCACAATTCACCAGCACAACCCCTCTAAACATGACCCTTGTGACCTACCAGCATTCTTCAAACCTTCATGGGGCAAAGCCACTGCTGCTGTCCCTGCTGGCAGGCGCAGTGTATGCTGAGCAGTTCACATTCTTTGCATCACAAACATTTTGAGGAAGTTTCATGCAGCCTCACCCCAGTTTCCACCAAATAAAAGGAAGAAGGTGCTCCACTGTGGTCAGAGGGAATCTGCTTCCAGCACATCACTGCACCCATCTCTCTCCCACCGCTGACCATGTTCTGTTGTTCCTGCAGCTTCAGCTCTGGCCGTGCTGGCAGGAACCTGGGTTCTTCCTCTGTAGCTCTTCCCAGGAACCGATGTAGTTTCAGCACTGCCTGGTGTCACTGGGGCGGTGGCATGGGCTGCTGTGGCTTGGGTTACTTCGGCAGGAGAGGTCTTGATGGTGTGACATGCTCCAGGCACAGAATGGCTGCTGGAAAGTGTCTTTCCCTGAGATGTGGATATGGCTTTGGTGCAGCTGGCATCGGGTTTGGCTACAGAGGTGTTGGCTTTGGCTATGGGGTTGGTGGAGTCTCCAGATTGTGCACCGTCATACCCATCACCATCAACAAGCAACTGCTCCAACCACTCAGACTGGAACTGGATCCCAACATGCAAACAGTGAAGTATCAAGAGAAGGAGCAGATCAAGACCCTCAACAACCAATTTGCTTCTTTCATTGACAAGGTGAGCTGAGAACCCCTCCCCAGCTGAAGTTTCCAGGCACTAGAGGCCAAGTGAGGTGTCTGGCATGGAAAGGGCATGGAATGCCTGTAAGACAACTAATTCTGGACATTGAAGACAACTTGCTTTAGGGTAACAGTTGAGCACCAGGGTGGTTTGAGCCACTGGGGAAGCTTCAGTGCACAGGCACAACTGATCTGATCTGTAGGCCTTACTACAGGGAGGGAACAAGCTTACCCAGCTTCATCAGCGTTCCAGTTCCTTCCCAGTTCCTCTCCACACACCCCAATTTATTGCAAAGCTCTCATTTCTAGAAGTATTTTGGGGTTTTGTGCATTTCCACATGGGTGGCCCAGAACAAAAGCCACTCAGGAAATGCTGCATTCACGAGTGCCAAAAGCAGGAACCCATCTCCTGCTGTTGCACAGACAGTGGCTCCCACAAGCTCTCAATCCTTATCTCATTTCCTACTTTGCCTACTGGGATTCAGGTTCGATTCCTGGAACAGCAGAATAAGGCACTGGAGACCAAGTGGAGCTTTCTGCAGGGTCAAAATCACAGCAAGACCACCATCATGCCCATGTTAGAGGCTTATATTGGGAACTTGAAGAAGCAGCTGGAAGCACTGGGCTGCAACAGAGCCCAGTTAGAAACAGACCTGAAAGCAGCCCAGCAGGTTTTGGATACCAACAAGAAAATGTAAGTAAAAACCAGAGAAATGCGAGTGCAGGGCTCAAAATGTTGTTCAGGATTTGTAAACAGGCAGAGACTGAACATTTCATGGTAGTAAATGGTTCCCAGAGGACTAGTAGGTAGATGGAGAGATCTACAAGGATCTTGGTATATAAAACAAGGTTCCAGTTTACAGAGATGGAGGAAGAGGAGGCAGAGCCCTGGGTGACATGGTCTAGGATGAGGAGTCCCTGCCCATGGCAGGGGGTTGGACCTAGATAATTTAAGGTCCTTTAGAACCCAAACCATTCTATGATTCTATGGTCCCTCTTCCAGGTTCTCTCTGTCTCCCTTCTAATCCAAGACATTATCATCTAGAAGCATTCAACAGTTATTTGCTGTTGCAGAGGTCAAAAGAAAACAGCTCTGCTGCAACTTTATAGAGGCACAGAAACCTCTCTGAAACACATTTGCTTTCCCATGGGCCATGGAACAAGATACCAAAACACTGTTAGGGAAGAAGGAAAAATAACGAGGAGTTTCACGTCTTGAGAGGAGCTCTGCAGAAACCCAAACAAAGGTGTAATTGCACTGGACTCAAGCAAGATCTCCCATTTTCCCACACAGGTACAAGGACGAATGCAGCCAGCGGCCCTGCACCGAGAGCAAGTTTATTGCCTTGAAGAAGGTGAGCAAGGGGCTGTTTGAACTCTCCTCTCCAGGCTCAGGTCTTTGGGGTGATTTATTTCCCAACAGCAGAACACAAACAAGTACAAGCAGGAGCTGGAGCTTGGCTTTGCTTGGACTCAAATCAGCAGCAACAGTGTAATTGGGAGCTGGCACACAGTCACGGTACCAGCACTCAAAGTCCCTCAGCCCAAGGGTATCCCTGGGTCTGCTCACTGACAAACTTCCTTCTTCTATCCCCAACGTGTCTCCAGGATGTGGACTGTGTTTTCTTAAACAAAGCAGAGCTGGAAGCCAAGGTGGGAACCCTGAAAGAAGAGGCTGAATTCCTGAGAAAGATCTACAAAGAGGTAAGGCAGCTCTGGATTGCTCCAGCATCCTTTGCATTTCCCAGCTGGATTTTGAAGCTGCTGATCCCAAACAACAGGGGAAGAGTGGTAGCACAGGCCAGTGGTCATCCCTTGTGTGAATGGTAATTCATCTCTGCGTGGTCATCACAAAGTGGGACCAAGTTGCATGGGGTGGGTGACACCCCTGGGACTGGGAAGCACAGCAGGACCAGCATCTCTGGCCAGCTCAACCCCATGTCACCACCAGGAAACCCACCGGCTGCAGGCCCAGATCTCTGATGCTTCAGTGGTCATCAAGATGGACAAGAGCCAAGATCTGGACCTGGGTGGCATCACTGCAGACGTCAGGGCTCGGTACGAGGACATTGCCCGCAAGAGCCGAGCAGAAGCACAGGCCTGGTATGAAAGCAAGGTGAGAAAACCCGGAGAGGGAGGGTTTGGGTGCAGTTTCTCTCTTCGGACTAACTTCAAAACCAGAGAAACACCTTCTCCCCTCCTAATTTACTCTGATTGAACTCAAAGCATGTTCTGGGATACGCATCTGTGTCTTTTGGGCTGTTCTAGTTTGAGGAGCTACAAGTTACTGCAGGCAGAAATGCTGACAGCCTCAGAGAGACAAAAACCAAGGCAGCTGAGCTGACACGGCAGGTCCAGAGGCTGAATGGAGAAGTCGAAAGTGCCAAGAATCAGGTGAGCACCAAGACCTGGTGAGACCAAGTGCCAGGTCTGGTTGTTTCAGCAGGGCAGAGAGTGAATTGCTGTTCCTGCTCCAACTAGAGCTGTAATAGCACATCCCATGAGCTGGGACTCTGCTGCTCCAACTAGAGCTGCGTTAAAGCCCAGCTCATGCAGTACCTGAAGGCAGGTGCAGTTACAGATATTTCCCTGCAAGTAACGTGAGGGAGCACTGAAACTACAAGTCCAGCTCCCTCAAACCCCTGCCAGAGGGGACTGCTGGGCTGCATCCACAACCAGACTTTAACCCTAGCTCTTCGTAATGCATTAATCACATTTGAAGGTAGCAAGAGACAGCTAAGACTCACCATGTCGTGCTCCTTGCAGCGCACCAAGCTGGAAGCTGCCATGGTCAACGCTGAGCAATGTGGAGAAACAGCCATCAAGGATGCAAAGCAGAAACTGTCTGAGCTGGAGGACACTCTGCAGCAGACCAAGGCTGACCTGAGCCAGCAGCTCCGCAAGTACCAGGAGCTCATGAACGTCAGGCTGGCTCTGGACGTCGAGATTGTCACCTATAGGAAGCTGCTGGAGGGAGAGGAGAGCAGGTGAGTGACAGGATCATAGAATCACAGCCTGGTTTGGGTTGAAGGGAGTTTAAAGTTCCTCCAGCTCCAACCCCTGCCCCTGGCAGGGACACCTTCCACTAGAGCAGGTTGCTCCAAGCCCCTGTGTCCAACCTGGCCTTGAACACTGCCAGGGATGGGGCAGCCACAGCTTCTCTGGGCACCCTGTGCCAGCACCTCAGCACCCTCCCAGGGAAGAGCTTCTGCTTCATATCTATCCGGAAATTCCCCTGTTGCAGTTTGAACCCATCACCTCTTGTCCTATCGCTCCAGTCCCTGATGAAGGTCCCTCTGCAGTACCCTTGTAGCCCCCTTCAGACACTGGAGCTGTTTGAGGCTAAAGGACTTTGCATTTGAAGATAGATGGATAATATGCCACCTTTTCCCATTCTCTCCAGGCTCTGTGCAGAAGGTGGCTTCCCCACCAATGCCTGTAAGTTGGAATATTCACCTTCTACCAAATTTGGGCATCTTCTGCCTTTTTTCCAGGGAATTCCCTAAGCTGAAGGCCAGCTTTGCTCTGCCTTTCACAGCAGTGAGCTGCAGCGATGGTGTGAGCAGCAGGACCACAAGGAGCTCCCACATGAAGGTGATGTCTATGACCAAGTCAGCCAGGAGCAATGTGTAAAGAGCTGTAGATGCTGGAAACAAAGCAGAAACCATCCCTTTCTGCCAACACACAGCAACAGCCAAGCCAGAGCCAGGGGACACACAACTCCCCAAGACTGCCCATGTTTCATTCCATGGGGATACAAAAGGAAAAGAGGCCTCAAGAGTTTTTCTATTTCTGCTAAGGAATCTAGGAGCAAGAAGGGCTAAAATCCCCCTCATCACTCCCATTATGCAGTTAAACCAAGATGCTTTTGGTGGAGTTCCCTGGTCTTTCTACTCCCACATTCCAGGATTAAAACAAAGTGGGAGAGAAGGTACCTTCCACCTAAGAGCATTTTCATTATGGCTTCATCCAGCCCAGTTGTTTCCACAGATCCCACCTTGGATCAACATTAGTTGACCAATGGTTTTGTTGGTCAGACTTTTAGATACACACACACCCCTGGCATGAGCAGAACTCACCTAAAACAGCCTGGCCTGCAGCTTCTCTACACACCGCATTGTTTCATTGATTATCTGTCCCAAAGGATAGATTTCAAGGGCTGTTGCTGCTTGAAGGTATCTACACTACCTGCTTTGAAACTCACCCTCAGCTTTCCTTTTTCTTCTGGGTTCTCAATGCTCTTGCTCATCTGCTTTGAAACTCACCCTCAGCTTCCCTTTTTCTTCTGGGTTCTCAATGCTCTTGCTCATCTGTTGCCATAAATTCCATCATAACGGAAGGGTCTGGGCAGTAGACTCTGCTGTCAGGTATGAAAAGGGCTGATCCATCAATGTTTCTGGCCCTAAGACACAAAGCTCCTCTGTGATCTTGCACAAGAGATCCAAATCCATCCTTAAACACACAGAACCTGCAACAACTTCTTTTCTAGTCATGCACTGAACTGCTAGAGAAGGACATTAACCCTATTTGAAGGAAAAGGGGAAGCAGTGATTTGTTTCTAATGACTATGTATTTTGTCAATGGCTTTTATTCAGGTTTTAATCTTGCATCTCTAATAAACTGACACAGCAACTCAGTTCCCTTCATTCAACACCTTCATTTGGGGAAAGGGGGGGTTAATTCTTGTCTCTGCTCCAGGATCTCAAATGCCAAAGCTAACAGGGGTGTAACCAAGGCAGAGGACAAGCCCTCCATCCACTGGGAGCTCTTCCTTCCCAACCCAGGCACTGCATCTCAGTGACTGCCTGTAAATCCCAACATCTGCTCTCCATACACATGAGCAGCTTTGCAAGAAGAGGGTTAGACCCTCTCTCCAGAGCAGCACTGAGTCAAAGGCACAGCTCTTCTCTTCCTCACACCCACAGCACACAGGGAGCAGGATCCATTCCACCTGACGCTGAGTGTTTCTGACACTCTCGTGCCAGTGAGGCACAGAAACGGGTGCTTCCCAGCTTAAACATCTTCATTAGGACAGGGTGGAGATCCCAATGACTTTCCCCCAGGAAAAACAAACAAACAAAAGCATTTAAGGGCACTGACTAAGCAAAGATGCTCTATGGATTTGCATAAAGCTAACTGAAACTTTAATTACTATCACTGGTTGCTAAATCCCCTCAAAACCATCCCCCGAATGCCTCGAGCTGCCTGGGAACTCCTCAAAGCCAGGTACCAGGAGCTGCTGGATGGTTTTGCAGCCCCTTGTCCCTTCAGCAGAACAGACCCAGCTCCAGCCCATGTTCCATCCCTCATACCCCTGCCCTGGCTGCAGCTACACCAGTGCACAAGCACAAAGTCCCACCGTCACCAGTAAGAGGCTGGACAAACTCTTCTAATCTCCAGTGTATGCGGTGTTTCCCTTCATAACCCCATCAAGGCAATTAGGCTTCCCATCAGGCTAAGGAGGCCCCTCAGGTGGAAGCCTTCCCAGGATAGGAGTTGTTTTCCCCCCCACCCACACCAATACTCCTCCCTGCCCAGTGGAGCTGGGCCCATACTAGTTTCATGCCATTTAATTCCTTTTAAACATCAGATGAAAAGCTCCATCAACCTCAGAGCAGGGGTTTAGCCTTAGGAGTTACTGGAAAACTAATGGAAACTGAAACAAATGCAGCTTAAACACTGGGGAACCGAAGAAAGCTCCCCACTATCTGCAGCCTTCCTCCCAGGTCTGGTTGCATCCAAGTCCTCACCTTCCCCTGTCTCAGCTCCCTCACAAAGAAGAGCAGAACTTACCTCCTTTGTAGAGCCCACTGACATCTATGGGCACAACAGCATTGCCAGTGACCTCAGTCCTGTTAATTACAATAACACACATCCGACCTTGCATCCCTTGCTGGTGGTACAGCAGAGCCACAGGGGTAGGTGGACGGAGCAGAACTACTGCATCCTGCCAAGCAGCCCAGCAGGAAACACCAAGGACAGTCCAGCAGGAACACGGCAACTGGCTGGGGCACTTCACTGGAGAGAGAAAATCAGGACAGCTCTCTAGGAGCAGAGAAATGCAGAGGCCAAGAGCAAGCAGAGGTGGTGCAGTAAGAGAAGTCTTACTTAAAGTATTAGATAAAAACTTATAAAGTAAACTTGAATAAGTATCATAATAATCATAACAGGAGGGAAGATGGGGCTGGGATGTGTTGGCCTTTCCCCAAAGCATGAACAGAAAAGTGGCCCTGAGATGGCACAAGGCAGGTCAAAGGACTTGCCCATTCGAGGAGGAGATGCCCTCTGCAACAGTCTCCTGAGCTCCATCTTTCCCTTAACACAACCTCCAGCTTCCCCTAAATTCCCTGAGCCCAAATTCACAGCAACCCCATGGACCACAGCAGCTCCCTGGGTCACTCTGACCTGACCAGGCATGGTCCTGGCCCTGCACCACCGCAAAACATCCTCTGTGTATGATTTTATGCTCATTCCAGATGTTTGTTATTCTTCTTAGTCACTGCTGCAAAAGAGAAAGGCCAAAAATACTGGTTTATATTATTATACTGGGTTGTTTAACAGCTTTTTATACCTTTTGATACCTCTGAGGACTGTGTTCCCCCATCAGCGTTCCTTTTTGCCTCTGTTCCCTCCAGCAGTGACATCCTGCCACCAGCACAGGAAGCTGCTGCTCAGCCACGCAGTGGGAGGCAGAGTCTGGCACCCAGCACCCAGCCCAAGTGACAGCATCAGCCCAGCAGTGGTGATGCTGCTTGGTGAGGGCTCTGCAGTGGATGGGTGCTGGGTTCCTCCGGGTCACATCGTCTCCCTTCTCTACAAGTGCAGAACTCTCCCCCATTGCAAAGCTTCTTCTGAAGCTGGATTATTTCTCCTGAATCCAACTTGCAGGAAGTACAGGAAGCAGAACACTGGGAATAGACGCACTTTACACCCAGTCAGGGCACTTTGCCTTCATAACATGACCCAGCTTCAGTGTGCGCTTGAGCCCAGAACCCCGCCATGTGCTGTGCTGCACCCTCAGAGTGAGAGCAGCAGCTCAGGGAGGGGATCCTGCCCCTCTGCTGTGCTCTGAGACCCCACTTGCAGCACTGGGTGAAGCTCTGGTGTCCAAACACAAGAAGGACATGGAGCTGTTGGAGCAAGTCCAGAGGAGACCACAAGCATGATCAGGGTCTGGAGCATGTCCAGTATGGAGACAGGCTGAGAACATTGGGGCTGTTCAGACTGGAGAAGAGAAGCTGTGTAAAGACCTCAGAGCAGCTTCCAGGGTCTGAAGGGGGCTACAAGGATGCTGCAGAGGGACCTTCATCAGGGACTGGAGTGATAGGACAAGGGGTGATGGGTTCAAACTGAAACAGGGGAAGTTCAGGTTGGAGATAAGGAAGAAGCTCTTCCCTGTGAGGGTGGTGAGGTGCTGGCACAGGGTGCCCAAAGAGGTGGTAGATGCTCTATCCCTGGCAGTGTTCAAGGCCAGGTTGGACAGAGCCTTGGGTGACATGGTCTAGGATGAGACATCCTGCCCATGGCAGAGGGTTGGAACTGGTTGGAATCTTAAGGTCCTTTCCAACCCATTCTATGATTCTATAGTATCAGCATCCCCTCTGAAGTAGAGATGGTGTTTCAGCCACCTCCACCTCTGAGCCCAAACTGAGCCAAGGCCAGATCCAGAGAACAAACACAAAGTGCACCCACCTTCATGGGCTCACAAACATACTCCATGGTGTTTCCCACATTGTGCAGATCCCCTTTTCCCCAGCGTATGTTGTTCTGGGAACATGGAAAAGCTGCAGCCACACAGCCTGCAAGTACCCCTTCCCGCATGCCTGCTGCTCCCCAGGGATTCAAGCAATGGAGCTCTTCAGTTCACTCCAGAGGATTTGTTTCAGTTTGATTTCTTGGCTACAACACAAAAGCTGTGAGCTGGGTGTGCTGGGTGCCAATAACACAGATTTGCTGGGCACCCTAATGCCTCCGTTCCTTGACCTTAGTGCCTCGTGTGTAGTAAAACCACACACAGGCTCAGCACAAGGAACTGGGTCATGTCGGGCACTGAAGGAACGGGATCTGGGTAGTGCAGAGGCAGGTAAAGCATCCTTGGAGGATGCACAAACCAGCCTGGAGGAAATAGCAACTACAAACCCTCTGCCTGGCCCTGGCCCCACTGGGGTGATGCTTTGTGCAACAGCAGCTCCAACCAGGGCTGGCCCCACATCTGCACCATGGTTTTGAGAGGGGTGGGAGCAAGCACAAACCACCCTGAGTGAGTCCTCCTCGCCCCACGGTGCCCCAGAAGGAGCAGGATGAGTTGTCCTCATGCAGCAAGGCCCAGACTCTCCTCTCCAAGCTCTGGCTGTTGGCAAGAGGGGTCTCCTCCAGTGTCCAGCTCCTCTGCTCAGCAGAGCAAGATGGTGCTCAGGGATGGATTGGTCTCAGTTTCAGTCCTGATCAGGGGCTGGGCTGCAGCCAAGTGCTTGAACAAACCAGTGCCATGACCCCATTGCCCAGACTGAGAGCAAACAGGTAAAATTCACCCAGGAATGGAAGACTTTGCAGGCAGCAAACTCGAGATCCTACCTCTGACCACAGCGTGGCACTGCTCCAGGGCAGCAGGCTCCGGAGGCAGGAGGAAGGGGTAACACTAGGTTTTCCCCAGAGCATCCAGGGCAGCACAGACAAGGAACTCAGCTGGCACTGAAGCAGCATGCAACAGGGAAACTTTATTAACAGCCTCATGACAAACTCCCAGACCACAAAGGCATAAAAGAGCAACCAAGGATGCACTGCGAGGACATGGCTGAGCACGAAATGCAACGATTCTGTGCAGCTTCTGCGAGTTACTTATCCAAGAACCCTTCCTACTGCAGCAAGAACCTATTGCCCTGGCACGGTTCAGCTGAAGAGACATTTTGGCAGGAACAAGAAGTTATGGCAATGATGCATCAACAAGCCACGCTTTTCCCTACTTGTAGTTGAGACACCAGATAACACTAAATACACTTTGAAAGACAGGGTGGTAAACAGACACCTGGGGATGGGGAATGTTTAAGCAACTTCATATCCCTTAAGCTTTGGGCTTCTTTTAAGGAGAGGGAGTGGGAGTGGGGAGCGGGGAGCTTCCTTATGAGTTACTTGGCTCTCAAGAGCCTGAAAGTAAATCTGCCTGCATTGCTTTCAGTAACAAATCAGCGTCAGTCAGAGAAGAATCACTGAATTCCATTTCTGAGCCCATTTCAAAGAAAATAAGGAGAACCCCAAACAGTTTCACTGTTTTCTTCTTGGTAAACATTAACAAAACTAACCCAGGCTGCAATCACAGCAGGGGTTGACCTGTTCTGAGGAGCCCAAGGGAATGAAATCTTCCAAATCCTATTACAAGGCAGATAATCTCCTGGTGTCTTTTCCAAAACCACAGTACAAGTGTGGAATTCCTTGCCACTCAAATGATTGCTTTGCCTTTCAAAGGGTGAAATCCAGCCCTGAGCAGGGGGTACCAAGCACACAAGTAACAAAAGCATTATCCCTCCTGCTTCACCAGCTGAGTTTCACCCTGCAGGCTTGAACCTGCTCTCAGTGGAATGGTTCCCACCAAGTTCAGGAGTGCAGGATCAAGCCTGGAGTGATGTGGCCAGGGCAGGTACTGGTGTGTCTTACTCCAATTCATTCACCACTGGTGAAATTCTGCAGCCAGTTTGTCCTATAAAGGCAACAAAGACTTTTCTTTATATGGTTTCCCTCCTCCCATGTAACGGGTACCACTGATCTCCACTCCTGACGTTACTTCCTGAAGCTTCTCCTGCTGGATGAGGTCATGGTGACAGTGGAGGACCTGGTGGTACCCCCAGAGGAGAAGCCAAGTGCTCCACTGCCCATTCCTGAGCCCAGGCTAAGGCCTCCTCCAAGTCCTCCTCCCAGAAATCCACTGGAACTGGCAAAGCCACCTCCACCGCTGGAGCTGACCATGGCTGTGACATGGAGAGAAGGAAAGCAAATGTGAGCAGCAGGGAGCTTCAGCCCCAGTTTGGCACCCTCAGGAAAAGGGCACCACCAAGATGAAAACTCTCTTTGATCCCTACAAAACACTCATCTCCTGTTACATTTTTGCCTGGAGCATTTTACCCTGTGCTAAGCCAGATGCATGTGAGGGCTGAGCAGTCTCCATCACCATCACTCAGCCTGACTCAAGACCTTGTGCAGCATGGAGAACCCCATCTCAAATACATTCAGCTCATCTCTTGGTGCACCACAGTGGCTGTGGGCATGTGGTTCACCAGCTACCAACAGCAATTAAGTGGATGGAAAGCAGAGCCACTGGTGTAGACCTGTAGACAGCACCTCCAAGACACCAGCATCTCTCCAACGTCCAGCCAAGGTGAGCACCCAATGCTTCCCAAGCTGGAAAGACACCCTCCACTGTCACTTGGCACTAACTTCCAATCCAGGCAACACATTTCCTCATTAGCACATATAAAAATGAGAGGAAAGAAAGATCAATTTTGCCCCAAGTTCAACTTCACACAGAGGAGCTGGAGCTGAAGTCTGCCTTGGAGCCAACAGCACTATCAAGGTCTGTCTTGGGGGGCTCCCATTTAAGAAGGGGTTAACTGGGCTGCAGAAGCAAAGGCAGGGCACTGATGCTCCTGCACGCAGCCCCAGCTGGTCCCCACCTGCTTTTGCTACGTGTAACTACTATAAAGTACAAAACCAACTCACAGATGTTGATGCTGCCAACTCCATCACCAGCCAACCTGTTGGGGAAGACAAAACACAAAGGCAAAAAGGAAGAGGCCAGGTTAGACTCTGCATTACTCAGTGTTCCCCCAGGGCCTCAGTGATGAGAGTGAAGACAATGGCAGTGAGTTATTGCTGTTGTAAATAATTCAAACAAGATACGTGTGCCATCCAGCGCTTTGCTCTGGCCCTACAGTTACAGCTCTGGGAAGGGGGGGGGCACTGAAAAAGCACAGAAGCTCTGTCCTAATTCCATGGGGATTTGAGCCACTTGGGAATTTTCTGCCACAGCATTGAACAAAGGATGGAAACAACTCTCTCCTCTTCTTTGCATGTTTTCTCCAAGAGCATCACATTTTCCCCAGGACTTGGCCTAGTTTGGCTCTTCTGCCAAAACACTTTCAGGACCAAATCCCAGTTGAAACTGCAATGTTCTCTCTTCTGGATTTCCTTAGGGAAAATGGGATTGGGCCCTCACAATGCCCCCAAGCAAGGCGAACAAAGGGTTGGACCTTCCCCATGTAAAATCCACAGGTTGCCCCCACCTGCTCTCCTCTCCCTCCAGCAGCTTCCTGTAGGTCGCAATCTCGATGTCCAGGGCCAGCTTGACATTCATGAGCTCCTGGTACTCCCGGAGCTGCCGGGCCATGTCCTGCTTGGCCTTCTGCAGAGCTGCCTCCAGCTCCTCCAGCTTTGCCCTGGCATCCTTGAGGGCCATCTCCCCGCGTTCCTCAGCCTCAGCGATGGCTGCCTCCAGCTTGGCACGCTAGAGGGACAGAGCAGGGCACGTCAGTGGGAACCTCACCTCCTTGGTGGGGGACACAGCTGCCCAAGGACTTCTGACATCTACTGGACAGACCATCTCTGTGTATCTGCACAGCCCTGGAGCCATCTGCTCAACTGAGATCCCTCAGAAGTTCATGCCTACCCACTGTCTTGGACACTGGATGGAGATCAGCTGCAAAGGAAGCTCATCTCATACGTTGTTATGAAAGACAGACCCTACTTTCTCCACTGGCTACATTTTTGGAAGACTTCCTTCAGGGGATCCTCAGGTTCTCAGCCCCCACACACCACACACAACAGCACAACACTTCGGGTTAATGCAAGCTCAGGGTTTCTCTCCTATTTATTATGCCCCAAGAGCTTGTTCACTGCCAGCTGGTCTGCACCAGACTTTGATGTGAGGCAAGTGTGGACTCGAGCAGACCTGCAGTTAACAAACAATGAAGACCAAAAGCATCCCTGTGAGGCCACATCAAGCTGGCAGCCTAATGCAGCCTCAACCGTGCCCCCTGCACCTTCAAAAAAGCCCTGTGTTTGCCAGGAAGGCCTCACAATGAACACATGTACTTTATATTCTCATCCATTATTCAGGGGAACTGCACGGGGTCAGCTCTTGGCTTGTGTGTATTGAAGCCTCCCTGCCCTGAAACCAAATAAACACACAAATGGATGAATCACAATGGCTTATCTCCAGCTTTGTGCACCCTACTTATTCACCACCAGCTTTCAGCCCTCAGCCATTCACTGGGCTGGCTTCCACCAGCCATTTGATCAAGTGATAAGGGCCCTGCAGAGAGCAAACAGAACTCCCATACAGCTGTAAAATTCCCCCGTGTGCCCAAACACGGTGTTGCAAAGAAGGGAGTGGACAAAGATCCCAGAAGCAAGAGGGCACAAGGAAAGTGTGTGCTGGGAGGGAAGCCACACGCCGCAGTGCCCTTTGGAAGTGGCTCTGCATCACTCCCCTCTGCGCTCCTGGGTCGCTTGTGGACTCACCTAGAGATCAGCTATAAACATACAGACCCTCACCTATAGTTCAGCTATAGAGAGACTCTCACCTAGAGTTCAGCTATAGAGAGACTCTCACCTAGAGTTCAGCTATAGAGAGACTCTCACCTAGAGTTCAGCTATAGAGAGACTCTCACCTAGAGTTCAGCTATAGAGAGACTCTCACCTAGAGTTCAGCTATAAACATACAGACTCTCACCTAGAGTTCAGCTACACAGAGACTCTCACCTGGAGTTCAGCTATATAGAGACTCTCACCTATAGTTCAGCTTTGTATAGAGGGAGATTCTTACCTATAGTTTAGTCAAATATACATATAGACTCTCACCTGTAGTCCAGCTCTATATATGGACTCTCACCTATAGTCCAGCTACATATACATGGAGACTCTCACCTATAGTCCAGCTATATATACATAGAGACTCTCACCCATAGTTCGGCTGCCTTTCAGCATTATATTGCTCATATCACAGTTTCTCCCTCCTGCAGAACTGACTCCTTTGGGGTGAGCATCACGGCCACCCCAAAGTGCTTCCCCAGCTGCTGAATGACACCCAGCCCCGGCACGCTGGCTGCTGATGCTGACCCCCTGCTCTTCAGCAGCAACAGGGGCAGCTCCTCACCTGGGCCTTTGCATTTTCAATCTCCCCCTGCAGCCTCTGGATCACACGGTTGATCTCCACAATCTCGTTCTTGGTGTTGCGCAGGTCATCCCCATGCTTCCCCGCGGTGACCTGCAGGGCCTCGTACTGCCGTGGGAAACAGAGGAAGGAGTCAGGCTGGCACTCGGTTAGGTGCCTAAAATCCCTCCCACTCATGCCATGCGGATTCATGCACTAACAGAAGCTTTTCTGACTCCCAAACTCACCTTGCTCTGGTACCAGGACTCAGCCTCCGCCCGGCTCCTGTTGGCAATCTCCTCATACTGTGCTTTGACCTCTGCGATGATGCTGTCCAGGTCCAGGTTTCGGCTGTTATCCATAGACAGCACCACTGAGGTGTCAGAGATCTGGGCTTGCAGCTCTTGAAGTTCCTGCCCATTGCATTAGAAACAACACCATTAATCACTGGCTTTTATGGGCCTCTCATTTGGAAGCCAATTAAAGAAAGATCCAAAAAGAAAAGGGGAAGGAAGGCAGCTAAGAAGAATTCAATCAAAACAGTCATTAGTTAGAAGGAACCCAACTGAATCACATCAACCTTGCAAAGCACAAAGTAACCGACAGCAGAAATGAAGATACTTCTTATCACCCACATTCTGACAACAAGGTTGGGTTATCCCATTCCTGAGATAAGAGCCCAGCATGGAATGCTTAATCCAAGAAACTTGAGCATCAGCTTCACAGCAGTGCAAGGGCCAAATTCCACAACCTCGCCCAAGGATGTGTCCAGTTCAATCAGTCTCTTATCTTGCAAATAATGGGTAAGATAAAGGAGTCTGGGACAAGGAGCTTTCCTTCCTGTCTGTCTCCCAGCACGCAAACACACCAGCACACACCAGTACACACCAGCACCACAGCCCTGACTATAGCACTCAGGTTTTCCGTGTTTTCATGCCAACAGCATCAATAAACCTACTGCACATCCCAGTTAGGGAGAAATCACTGTGGCAGTTCACAGGGCACTTCACTTGCAGGTTTATTTTTGCTCATGTAAGGGAACACTCTGTGTCTCCATCACCTCCCTCATGTCTGGAAGCAGCACATTCATCCTCTCAGACACCAGTCACTGTTCTTCCCTCACTGGTGGCACCACACTGCAGCAGCCACATGAAGCACAAAGGAACTTACCGCTTCATAGAGAGACCTCAGGAAGTTAATCTCATCCGTCAGCGCATCCACCTTGGCCTCCAGCTCCACTTTGTTCATGTAAGCAGCATCCACATCCTGAAAGAGTCAGAATCCACTGAGACTGCTGTAGCTTTCATGACCAAGTCCACCCAGCCTTCAAAAGCAGTCATGAGCCCACCACGTTCCCCAGGCCATCTGCTCGCTACATCCCTCTGCCCAAAGATCCACCATGTCCTAAAAACCATCTACCAGTGCACTAAATGCTATTGACATGCAGGATCCCTTCTATTCTGTAGATCCCTGCACCTGTGTTTGTAAGCCCATTGTCAGTCTGGATAGTCAAGGGAAGCCTTGGGAAATGTTCTAAAGAAAGATACAGCCATAATCTAGGACATCCCTGGGATTTGTGCTGCTTCCCAGCTTCCTACAAAGACTTCAGTGCCTACTGAGGCAGCTTTTGACAGAAATGAGAGCTCGGATTCTTTACCTGCAGGTCTCTAGGCACAGCTAGAAAATGAAGGGACAAAAGGGGGAGAAGGGCTGTGAAGACCCATGGTGAGCCCCAGCTCACATCCCCGCACGCACCTTCTTGAGCACCACAAACTCATTCTCTGCTGCCGTGCGCTTGTTGATCTCATCTTCATACCTACCAGGAAGAAAGGGATCGGTGAGATGTTAGAGCCGAGCGAAAGGGGAAATGTCACATAAAGAGTTACCCCGAGTCTTTTCTCCCTCCCTCCACTTCTCTCTTTGTGAGCAACCTCAACGAAGCCTATGACCTCCCCAGGCCAGGCACAGGCAGAGGCTTCCTGTGCTACTACAGTCTGTGTGTTTTCTGCACAAGAGGTAGCTGTAAGCCCCACTTCCAGGTTACTGTTTGGATGAACTGAAGCCTGAAAGCTGTTCTGGTCCACAACACCACAATCACTAATTTGGAAAGCATTTCTCACCCATGCCTTCCTGTATTCCTTAAAATTCACTGCGATTAAGAAGGTTGCTGCTCCTTATCCTCACTTGTGGACGGCTGCAGGATTGCAGTCTGTGTCCTGAGGCTCACAACAGTTTCACTTACCCCTTGAGAGAGCAAATACAAAAGCAGAAAGGGATGCCAGCAGGTTCAACCAACTCCTCTCTGCTGATCTAAGCAGCTGCTGATGCTGCTTTCACTGTGCACTTCCTTATTCCAGACATTTGAGAACACTTTGCAGGTGTCCATCACAGGCTGTTGCCCTGGTTAAGATCCAAGTGTAATTACCCTCATTCTGCACAGAGTGGCTCCGCTTCAAAGCTGCTCCAGCTTCTAGAGCTGGCTACAACCTTTCTTCAGGTGGTCACCTTTAGAGGTAATCAGCTAGATGCTCAGCAGATAAAAATCATGCTCCATTGGCTTTACAGCATCACTGCTTTGTTCCTAGCTCTCGGAGCCTGCCTTACACCAGCCTGTGCCCAGCCACTGCTGAATCAAACAGCAGGAACCTGCTGCATGAATCCTGAAAGTCATCCAAGGAGCAGAGCAGGAGCCACCTTCTCTGGCTGTTTGGGAATTCCTGTTGCCAAAGCCAGAGCACTGCTCTCTATCCACACAGTCCCTGCATGGCTAATGCTGTCATTTGCCTTCCAAAGCAGGAGCTACTTCACTTTCAACAGCCTTCATGTGCCTCCCCTTCTGCTCCGCGCTGGAAGCTTGCCCATCCCACTGGAATACAAGGATGTTGTCCAAGGAGAATGAGCTGCATCCATTGCTATAGCAGGGTAATATATGACCTGGAAATTATGTGCCTGTGCTGCATAGGCACAGCCCACAGCACAGAATGGACAAGCAGGGATAGGGAAGAGGACTGAACTCTTCTAGAAGGGTTTGTGGAATTCCTCATTTCCCATGGGAAGCCTGATCAAGCTGCCCAGTGAAGTGACAAGTCATTCCATACTGTCTATGAACTCCCAAGATGATTAGGAAGCCTGGGGCACTGTCACACCCTGGCATGCCCTGCACCAAGCCATGTGGGTAGCGTGAATACAGCCTGCTCCTACCCTTGCTTTGTCTGAACCACACCCTTAGGCAATGCAGTTACTGAATCTCACAGGGCCTGAATCTCATACCCTGGAGCCTCGTGCAGATAAATCTCCTTCCTTACCGCAGATGTGAACTGAGCATCATTGTGTAAATCAGACATATGAAAAAGAGGCAACAGACACAGAAAGTGGCAGTCGTGGTTTGGGTATTCCACTTAGACCATGACATTTTCTTCATATAAATGGGGAGAGGCAGGTTCTGAACTCCAGTTTCTACATCTCTCTGCTGCACGAGCTTCTTAGGCTCCTGATCTATAGAATCAAAGAATGGTTTGGGTTGAAGGGAGCTTAAAGCTCCTCCAGCTCCAGCCCCTGCCCCGGGCAGGGACACCTTCCACTAGAGCAGGTTGCTCCAAGCCCCTGTGTCCAACCTGGCCTTGAACACTGCCAGGGATGGGGCAGCCACAGCTCCTCTGGGCACCCTGTGCCAGAGCCTCAGCACCCTCACAGGGAAGAATTTCTGCCTAAAATGTAACCTAAACCCTGAAACCCTGTTTCAGTTTAACCCCTTTTCCTATCGCTCCAGTCCCTGATGAAGAGAAACTCCTGATTCCCGTCTCACAGCACAACTAGGGTTTGGCTTTACATGGACCCGTAATAAGGAATTACAGGAATAAGAATGCACCTCTGCACCTTGCATTCATGTGCCCTGCAAGTAAAATGAGGGCTGTAATTCCTCTGGGTGCAATCCAGCTCCTTGCTGCTGCCTTGCAGGGATGAAAACTGGGGCTGAGCAGAGGAGAAATAAGTGAGCAGGGTCGGGGGAAACACCATTGCCATGCACCTCCTTGGGAATCGCTGGCAACTGACCTTCCCTAAGCACACCCCAGAGATTATCAGAGCTGTTTGTTTTCAGTTCCTGCTGGATCCAGTTTGCCAGCTCCCTCTTTGCTTTCTTTCCTTTCTTATTAAAGGCTGGGTTGGGCCCCCGCTGGGACAAAGGCTGCTTTCTTCAGGGGACTCCTCCCAAGCCACACAATTTGGACTGAAAAGTAGTTTAAAAATGGCAGGTCCCCTGATCCACTTACCTACCCACAACCAAGCAGCAGCTCACCCACTGCTACCAACCTGCTGAGCTCCATGGGCTTCCTACAGACCCAAAGTACAAAGCCATCCCTGAGGAGACCCCAAAGCAAAGCTAAGGGGATGGAGCTGCCAGGAGCAATTAAGGCAAGAAGAAGCCAGGCAGCTTCCCTGGACTCAGACACCTTACTCATGGCTGGGAAAATCTCCCTCCCTACCAGAAAAGCTGGAGACATCTCACCAAGCTTCTAACTACAGCTACAACCATTAGACCAACCCAACTACACCGTTAGACCAATTCAAGCACCGTTAGATGGGAAGATTATACATTACTTGGTCTTGAAATCCTCAACAAGATCCTGCATGTTCTTCAGCTCGCTCTCCAAACGCCCTTTGTCATTCAACAGCCCATCGAGCTGCCGCCGCAGGTTGCTGATGTACGTCTCAAACATGGGAGCAATGTTACTGCGGGTGGTTTTCTGGTCCTGAAGGAGGCTCCATTTGGTCTCCAGCATTTTGTTCTGCTGCTCCAGGAACCGGACCTGGAAACCAACGCAGGGGTTATTTGTGAAAGCAGGGGGAAGGGGGAGCTGCCACCAGGGAGCTGATCCCAGGGGAAGGACTGGCTGGGGATGGTAGCTAAAGAATTCAGATTGCTCATAGAGGGCATCTGAACTCTGAGGGGGATAAAGACCAGGAGGGAGCACTGTTATCCGGGGCTTATGATTTCAAGGCTTTGGATGAATTTAAGATAAGCAGATTCTGCTTGCTCAACACTTGACAGAAGCCATCCACAGACCTCAGGCAATTACTCAAACTCCAGGTCTGGATTCCTTGCATGTCAAGGATGCCAGAGCTGAAGTTTACACAGGACATAGGATTGATTAGGGCAAGAGAGTAAAGGCACAGGGTACAGGGCAGTGCAAATGCAACAAGGTCTGACTTACATCAAGATCTGTTCTACTGGCAGGATGCCTCTCCAAGAGGCCCCCTCCTCCCTGCATTTGGTAGTGGTGTGCTTGGGTGCAGATTGGATCTTTAAAGCCTGCATCTGTATTATGGACAATAGCTACATAAAAGGGACATTCACTAAATAAGGTATTGCCCACCCACACTATGGGCAATAGCAGCTAAATAAAAGGGGTACAAAGCTGGCCCAAGCAGGGCAAAACCCTTTACCAGAAGGCCATGGGTCTACAGAGGGCTTTAGTAAGAGTTATTGTATCATGGCAGGCACATCGCACCATGCTCCTGAGGACCTGATCCTGAGCCCATTTGTGAACCCCCCACTGGGTGTGGGTCAGATTTGCTTTTGAGGTTTTCCCAACACCTCACCTTGTCGATGAAGGAGGCGAATCTGTTGTTGAGGGTCTTGATCTGCTCCTTCTCCTCCTTGCGCACCCGCTGGATGTTGGGGTCGATCTCCAGATTCAGGGGTGTCAGGAGGTTCTGGTTGATGGTGACCTCCTGAATGCTGCCGGAGGCGGGCGCCCCACCGAACCCCAGGCCCGCATAGCCGTATCCAGAGCGACCG